AGCTTAATGCTGCTGTGTTTATCGTCGTGAGTGTAGAGATCCGGACCCTTATTTTCTAGAAACGAAGCATTCATCTTAGTCCTCAGGGCTGACAACGCAACTGCATATTGATTCTTTATCGAGGATGAATGTGGATGTTTATGGGCCACAGCATCCACTTACCATCAGGTGGACTGTGTGCTCGTTTGTCATACTAATTGTATAAAAAAAGTCCTCAAAGATGACAACGCATCTGTATTTTGATTGTTAATTTCCACCTACACTAATATTACAAAGAGGAAAAATTTGTTTTTTTGAATTGAATAGGCTTCATAACTACTGGACTGATTTGAAAATTTCTTTTATCTTTAGAATCCTACATTATCCCTGATGAACATAGGCTATAACATATTTTAAAAAAAGATTGGGACCCGCAGAAAACTTCGTTAATGTAACTTACGGTGTGAAAAAAATACTAAAAGAATCCTTATATCGTGTACGCTGCAGAAACTATTGACAATAAAGCAAAATAATTTACTACAGTTTTATAGAAAATATTAATATCTACAAAAAATCTGCAATACTATATGTCTAACTATTACAGTTATGTCACAATAACTACTTTTTTGTTAAAATATGCAATAGTAACGCCTAAAAATTCTTATATCGCATACGCTGCAGAAAGTATTTACAATAGAGCAAAGTAATGTACTACAGTTTTATAGAAAATATTAATATCTACAAAAAAATCTGCAATAATATATGTCTAACTATTACAGTTATGTCACAATAACTACTTTTTTTTATGTTAAAATATGCAATAGTAACGCCTAAAAATTCTTATATCGCATACGCTGCAGAAAGTATTTACAATAGAGCAAAGTAATGTACTACAGTTTTATAGAAAATATTAATATCTACAAAAAAATCTGCAATACTATATGTCTAACTATTACAGTTATGTCTCAATAACTACTTTTTCATGTTAAAATATGCAATTGTAACGCCGAAAAATCCTTATGTCGCGTACGCTGCGGGAACTATTGACAATAGAGCAAAGTTATGTACAACAGTTTTATAGAGGACATAAATATCTACAAAAAATTGGCATTTCATATATCTAACTATTCGAGTTATGTTACAATAACTACTTTTTCATGTTAATATATGCAATAGTAATGCCGGTACAAACTAGCTCACATTATTCGTACCTTGGTATTAATCGTTATATTGAAATAAATCACTTCGTATTCAAGGATATACCATCCATCGTGCCTGTACCATCCATAACCATCAATTACAATAACCATGTAATTTAAGTAACATTTTTCACTTTTTAAATCTATGTTGATGTCTCTCTCAAAGTTTACGCTCCCAATTTGATATTTGTTGAGATACGATAATTGGTTAAGATAGCGATAGCAGTTACTTCGTCAGGAAATGCTGCAACTCTCTTAAAGGACGGGAAAGCTGCTCATTCTACTTTTAAACTTCTGCTATCCGTGACTCTTGAGCAACAATGTGCATGTTCTATCCGCAAAAATGGACCTCTTGGTAAATTACTACAAGACGCCTCATTGATTATGTGGGATGAATGCACCATGAGCCATAGACCACATAGAGAGGCCGTGAACAGAACCTTAAAAGATCTTAGAAACTCCTCTGCTCTCATGGGCGGGATCACTTTTATATTTGCAGGAGATTTCCGACAGACCCTTCCCGTCATTAACAGAGGTAGGTAGCATCATATCATCAAAGCATGCTTGAAATCGTCTCCCTTATGCATTTCGTTGGAAATTAGAAATTACGGACAAATATGAGCGCTCGTATTCATGGAATCACAGATAGTGATTTCCCACAACAACTGCTAAAACTTGGGGCAGGAATTTTTCCCACTCCAAATTTAAGCAGAAATTGTGAAGTCCTTCTGGACGAGTCTCTAAGCCAAGTAGTCCATAATTTAGAAATTTTAAGATGCAGTACGCCCTGACATCGAGAATTTGCACGAAAAGTAATTTAACTGGTTGTGTTCTGGAGCAATAGTGTTACCTGGGAATGATACTGTCAATGAAATAAACAATCTGATTATTCGAAAAATCCTCGGCCAAATAAAAAGTTACCAATCAATCGACACCGTGTCTAATATTGAAGACGCATTCCATTACTCACTGAAATTTTTAAATTCACTAAACCTTTCTGGACTGCCACCACACGAATTTACGTTAAAAATCGGAACGCCAATCATGCTTTTGAGAAATATAAGCCCACCGAGCATGTGCAATGGGATGAGACTACTTATGAAGGAATTGAAGGAAAATTTAATTGTAGCGACCATCATCACCGGCCTATCAGCTGGTCAACTACCTCATATAACGAGGATATTCTGCTGCCACAAAATAAAACAACATCAAGTATCGTTTACAGGGAAGTTCTGAACTAATAAATTTAATGGCTTAAGTTTTGTATATCTTTTTGCAAATTATATAATAACATTTCTAATAAAAATAAAATAACGAAATTAAAAAAAAGAAATAAAAATTAGTAAAAAATAATAATAAAAAATTCATTATCTATACTAATATTATGAAGAAGAAAGATTTTGTTTGTTGGTACCGAATAAGCTCCGAAACTATCGGACCGATTTTAATAACTTTTTCACCAATAGAAAGGTAAATTATCACAAAGTAACAAAGGCTATAATTTATTTTCAAAAAAATTGGATACCTTTAAGAAAATTGTAACCCAAAGTAGCAAAATTTTGCCTATATAATTCATTATTTGACGTGCGTTGAGAAAACTTAATGATACATAAAAAAAATATGTGCTACATGATAAAAATACTAATTTTTACCTTCAAAAAAGGCCGCGTAAGGAATATATCTATCATAATTAAGTCATAATAGTAGCTTTTGTGTTTTAAAATTTAATTAGATCACCGGTCGAAACAAAAGTCGGTTACAGTCGTATAGTAGTATTAATTCTTATTCAAATAAATAGTTTTATCATAAAGAAAGAGTTAAGAAATAATTAGTTCTTTACTATAGTCATACATATTTTGGCGGTAAACTTGGCATATTTTAAGAAATCTAAACTTTGTCTAAAAAGCAATCGATTATTATATAAGAAATGTACATATTTTGTGGCAGATTGCGCAAAAACTATAAATGATATCGCTTTCGGATGTATAAAAGGTTGATAGAAAATTCATTAAGGATCGTTTCCTACCTCCACACTTTTTATGTAACGTGTACAGTTATCTTTAACCCTTCAATTCCCATAAAAATCCCATACAGTTACATGCGTCTGGAAAATCCCGAGCGGTCGCATGCGACCGCACCCACCACTTATACAGCACTTTAAACTATTAAAACTTATATTTAGAGACTATTTTTCTTTGAAGAAGTTTAACATCATAAAATCTATACAAAATTTTCTATCCTGTGGTCTAAACAAAAGTCAGGTTTACTTCATTACAAAAAGATTTTTTGTATTTTGATAACAAAAAAATACATACCAAGCGCATGTCGGCAGCGTGAAAATCACAATTATTTCTATACATTACTCGAAATGAATTACGTAAAAAGATAAATAATATTCACACAAAAGATTTCATTACAATTTTAAAATAAAATACTATACTAAAATACTAGAAAAACGAAAAAATCAACACAATAACATTCACACGAAAATGGCGTACGAAATGAACGTAGATTATTAATAAATATCCATAGATTAACTGACTTTTTATTCCACTAGAGGATATAAAATTTTATATTGATTCTATAATGCCAAACTTCTTCATAGAAAAGTAGTCTCTAAACATAAGTATTTATGGTTAAAGTGCTGTGTGTGGGTGCGGTCACATTTGACCTCTTGGATTTTGACGGAATATCGAAGCGGTCAAATTTGGACGATTGCCGTTTGAGAGGTTAAAACTGGAAATAACCGCGTTTTTAGGCACTTTCTGGGGCATTCATCCGGGAGGGGGAGAGAGAGTGGATAAAATTTAACTTTGCTGTATAACGTACATATTATGCTGATAGATAAAAGCAAATTTTTTAGCTAAAATGATTAAACCAAATGAGCAAGGTGTCACATCATGTCGTGCGGTGCAGACTCGTGATATACGAGGGTGAAACCTCGGGGCACAGCTACATGAAATATTTTTAAAACAAAAAACAATTTTTAAAATGTTTGTCCCTGTTTTTCTGTTTGTTCCGGCTGATCTCCGAGATGGCTGAACCAATTTTCTCAGGACTTTCACTAGCAGATAGCTGATATTATAAGGAGTAACTTATTCCTATTTTTATTATAGAAAATGAATTGGGGTCTTTGGCAAAAAATTCAAATCCATGAAAGTCAATCGTAATGAAATTCGATGAAGTCGCGGGGAACGGCTGGTCGAATAATGAATCACAATCCATTTAGATACTTCATAACTATTATTATTCTGTAAAGTTCAGCTTATATGCTTCCCACAGTTGGGCAAAAGCCTCGTCTCCTTTCTGAGAGGGTAATTTAGCGGATAGGCCGTCACGTTGCTCCAATGCGTGTTGGCGAATTCGAACTCGCTTTACCATCTTCATTTACATAACCACGTACCATCAGGTGGTAGTAGGAAAACACTGTTCCAAAATAGAAAAAAAAAAAGATATTTTATATATGATATTTGTCTTTAACTTGCAATCAACAGTTCCATCGGCTAGCTGTTAACCTCTGAGCTACTACGACCCTTTACATCCCTTATATCATACTAAGACTTTGTTCAACAGCTGATCGAACCTCCATGCGTCCTCAATTTTAACAGCCGCCTATACATCGGTTATCCATGCGTTTGCGAGTTAACCTACTTGGCAATGCCACGGTCATCACATTGGCCAGTCAGTGCACCTCGGAGCGCAGTCCGCGGCGGGCGGTTTTCTGCGCTTCCCTCTGCTAGTATAGTACGTCTGCAGAATTTCCGAGTTCGAATTCGTAGATGGTGTGAAATTATTTTTAATTTACTAGTGCCATATCGAAAGATGGTTTGCAAGGTCGCACCGAAGGATATTACTCGTAAGTGTTTTCTTTTTTCCTAAAAATATTTTTAAAGTAAGGTTTAATTTAAATTTCTGCACACTGTACATAAATATTTTTTTTTATTTCATTTACAAAAAACATACAAACTAATTTTAGATTAAATCGATATTCTTAATATCGATATGACCATTCGAAAATAATAAAGTAAAATATTTTATTTAAAATAATCTCATTTAATTTAATATAAAAATATCTTTAAAATAATTGTTATTAAATTATTATTAAGCTTTTCTTTACTATAATGATAATGAATAGCTTTTGTGATAATGATAATACAAAAACAAGTAATTGTTACGTAATATTTTGTTAAATTTACTATTTTACAACTCTTTAATTTATTCTTGTGGTAATTGCTGCTGAAATTGTATTCTTCCATTACAGCCTTCAAAAGTCCACTGCTGAACATAGTTGCCACGCTTGGCAAGCTCAACTTTTTGTTATTTTGAGCGTTTATATGCTACTGAAAAACAAAGCAGGAGATGGGTGTCTCATGGTATGTTTCTATCTGTCGCCTCGTACGATAACCACGGGACGCTGCCACTGCACGGGACAGGATCTGGAATTATATTATATACCTTTAATACGTAGCCGACTCGGCTTCGCGAGCGTGAATTTCGGGTAAACGCATTTATTAGTTATTTCAACATTTTTCAAATTATATCGAACGAAAAGAGTTACTTCTAAAAATTCACGGTGCGATCTATACACAAATAAATAAAATTGAAGTGTATGTTTGTAATGTTTAAAGTAAAGGCTCTTAATTAAATGCACATGAAAGTGTATACTGTACTTATGACAAAAAACTATTCAAAATGTTTTTGACGGTCTGTCTGTCTGTTTATTTCGGCTAATCTCTGAAGTGGCGGGACCGATTTGATTTGATTTTTGAATGAGAATTTCCTTGGCAGATATCTGATGTTAGAGGAAGTAACTGAGGCTACTTTTATTTTAGAAAAACAAGTAGGGTTCCGCACAAAAAAATCAATCCATGAAATCCAACCGTAATGAATTCCACGCGGACGAAATCGCTGGTAACTGCTTGTTCATACTTATATAAAACTGTTAAATGTGTTGTTTTTTTTACGAATAATACATACACATCACAATGAAATAATTGTGAAACCAACACCGTTAACCATGAATTTTAATACAAAAAATTTACGTTTTTACTGAAAGTTTGTACTTCTTTTAAGTAAGCTGGCTACGGATTTGTTTAAATCAAATGTGAACATATTGCGTGGTGTTTGACTTCACGCAACAGATTAAAAACTGAATTTCTAAAGGAAATAACATTAGTCCCAAATATGTCTAGGGTAGTGAAGTAGCTGTTATAAGTTTCAGTTATACGAGTCAATAGTGAACGTTTCCCAGCATTCGTTCGGGACTTAGGTGTAGCAAATAATTTACATATACGCATGCTCGAGTGTGTGATCTGACTGGTAGTTTATAATATAGCTTATCCACTATATCAATACAATCGTACTTATTATTGCAAAAATCGTATAATAGCTTAACCTGTAATTGTAACCTTCTAGTTTTAAGATTAAATAATTTGTATTGTTGTAACAGTTTTGAGTAAGACAATTTACTATGATAACGTTTAAAATGCATGCAACGTAGGAAGTTCTTTTGCACTTTTCAAGACGTTCTATTTTTTTGTAAAAGGGATCCCACACTGAGATGACATATTCAATTTGAGGGCGTAGTAAAGATTTATATATATATATATATATATATATATATATATATATATATATATATATATATATATATATATATATATATATATATGTACTTGGCCGTTTAAAATCGTTACTAGAGCGGATAACAAACCCATACATCTTATATGCTCTATTACAAATATTCTCATGAGTTTCTAGTGTTAGTTTGGTATCTAATGTAACTCCTAGATCTCAAATTTTATGCACCCTATCGAGATTTGCGCCGCACAGAGAATAATTGAAATAACTTATACTTTTTTTCTTGCTAAAACTTATATATTTACATTTATCTATGCTAAGTTTCAATTTATTACGGTTACAATACGCTGTCAATCGGTTCAGATCTTCTTGGAATTTTAAATGGTCACCAATATTTTCAATCGTACGGTATATTTTGTGTTATCCGCATACAGAAGGAAATTGCAATTTTTGAAAAATTCGTTTATATCATTTAAAGTATTAAAGTTTTTGATGTAAGTTAAATTTACCTTGAAGTAAATACATTGTTTTTTTTATATCAATCAGTTTAGTCAGTGTATCCATGCCCACAAAGCAGCCAATTAGCCCATTACTTACTCGATTCGACTCGACTCGATCCGACTCTACTTTTAGAAATATAATCGGTACTGAGTTTATACTCAAAAGTTAATTTAACCACAATTAAACATAAACATGTCATCGAGAATACAGGTGGCCCGCGGTAATCCGACAAACGTTTTGCAAAGCGGTGTCAGATTATCGAATTTGTTGGACTATTGAGTACTGCCACAGCCCCTGGTAGACCGGAACTTTTTTGAAAAAGCGTATCTTGTAATCCGACAGATTAAATATCAAATACAAAAAATAGAAAACAAAAATGGCATCTGATGCACAATGAATACCTAAACGGTAAATAATGAAAGCCCGCTAGACCGCTACCATAGTCACATTTGAACTGAGACAATACGTGTCAGCCTGGATTGGTGTTGATGCGAACAATTGCAACCTATTTGTCCACGTATTCGCGAAGGACACCTCTCCCCGTGGCGGATATATAGCGCGAGCCGAATCTACGTACAAGTTAAAGACATGTCGGATTACAAGGGGGGACGGATTAGCCAGGGACTGGATTACCCCCCCCCCCCCCGGGAATCCACCGTAATATAATTTTTTATTAGTGAAAAAATTTTCAGAATCGAGTCCTCATTTCCTGAGATTACCTTCTACAAACAAACTTACGTACAAACGAGTTTCTTCTAATTCATATATCATTTCTAAAGTCCACTGTCGAACATTGATATACTATATATCGAGGATAGATGTAGATGTCTATGGGCCACAGCAACCACTTACCATCAGGTGGACTGTGTGCTCGTTTGTCACCCTATCCTATAAAAAAAAATTGAACCTTTCCCCATGAAATGATGATTCATAGAGGGAATTTTGCCACAGTAGCCAAGTTAAGCAGGCGGATAGAAAAGTGGACAGGAAGACGCTGCTGCGCAATTCCTGTATATAATATGAAGATGAAAAACAAAATATGGATATTTTATAGAATTATGGTGACAGCACACAGTGCACCCGATGGTAAGTGGATGCTGTGGCCCATAGACATCTACATTTAACCTCAATTAAAAATCAAAATGCAGAAGCGTTGTCACCCCTGAGGACTAAGATATAACGCTTCGATTCCAGTAAAACGTCTCCCCGGTTCCCTACACTTACCATACGAAACACAGCAGCATCAGGCTGCTATTTTACGCTAGTATCCTGTGAGCGTGTAGTCCTTCCCCGGTTGAGCCGACCTTTTCGTTCTACAATAATAACATAGCTGGAGCGTGACTCTACCACGTATAAAATATATAGGTTGGCATATAAATAAGCGTTATCACTTTTGAGGACTTATATAGAAAGATTTATGACCTGAAATTACACCAGCTTGATCTCTTTAGACCGAAAACGCATGCAACGTTGCAGCGAAAATAGGCAAGGAAGAGTTATCTATTTAGACGGTCTCCTAGGCAGAGTGAAATACTACCATCTAGTATACATCAAGCAGCATTTCAGTGCGAAAATATCGGTCACCATTCCACCTGCCCAAGGTAGATGAAAATGGCAACTCTTAAGAAATACTTGGCAATTAGTACACTCTTCAAAAGTTCGCCATATCCACTAGAAGAGTTGTAAACACTGAAGAAAATAATCCTATCATCTGACATATTAAACATAGATACTCAATATATACGTGGTAGAGCCACGCTGCAGCTATATTATGGTTGTAGCACGAATGGGTCGGCTCGACCGGGGAAGGACTACACGTTCTCACAGGAAACTATCGTAAAATATCATATGAAACACAGCAGTCTGATGCTGCTGTGTTTCGTATGGTGAGTGTAGAGAACCGGGGAGGCCCATTTTACTGGAATTGAGGCGTTCGATCTTAGTCCTCAGGGGTGACAACGCTTCTGCATTTTGATTCTTAATCGAGGTTAAATGTATATGTTTATGGGCTACAGAATCCACTTACCATCAGGTGGACTGTGTGCTCGTTTGTCACCTTAATTCTGTGAAAAAAATGTTGGATCTTATTCTGCATTTTTCATGATTCCCTAACTGACCACTGCTGGAGGTGGGCTTCTCCTATTGTAAGAAGGATTTACCTTAATTGCCACGTTGGGCATGTTCTTTATAGAATAAAGCTGACAAACGAGAACGCAATCCAACTGATTGTAAGTGGATACTGAGGGCCATGGGCATCTATATAGATATCTATACTCGTATAGGAAGGGTCACGCTATCACAGAATACCGGCGTAAAATAGCAGCTTAATACTGCTGTGTCTAGTATAATGAGTGCAGAGGATCGGAGATCCTTTTTATTGGAAACGAAGCATTCCAACTTAGCCCTCGGGGTGACAAATACCTCCATTTTGCTACTTAATCGAGGATGAAAGGGTCACAGCATCCATTTGCTGTCAGGTGGACTGTGCGCTCGTTTATCACCCTTATTCCATAAAAAATCATCTTCCTGATTACAATTCAAACTAATAAAAAAATTGCTGACGTGGCGTCTATTAAAATCCTATCTATGAGGGAAGGGGGAGCTCTATGTTCAGCAGTGGACTTGTATAGGTTGAATTGGATGTGATGTTTGGAGTCTCTTATGCCATCATCACTAACGGTTCAACAGGTTACATCACTTGGAACGCAAGTTGTAAAATGCAACTTGTGATTGCAGCATAAACCATTGTTATCGTAAACGCTTATTAAACGCGATAAAACGTTGTAACACCGCCAATGTAATTAATATCAGCTGTAAATTTAAGTGTTAAAATCCTAGTCAGCGTAAATTTTACACAAATTAAGTTTTGTTATATAATATGATCTCAAACGAGCACATAGTCCCTAATGTTAAGTGGATGCCTGTCACCCATAGATGTGTAAATATATCCTCGATTAATAATAATCAATATGCTGATGCCTTGTCAGAACTTAAGGACTAATATAGAATGCCTCGTTTTCACCCACCATATGAAACACAGCAGCGTTAAGATGCCATCTTACACTGGTATTCTGTGAGTGTGGTATTTCGAGCCGACACAATTGTGTTACAAACTAAATATAGCTGCAGTGTGACTTTACTACGTTTAGTGAATTTTTTAATTACGATAGTAAATAATGTATATTTTAATTATGTAAGTGGATGCTGTGGCCCATAGACATCTACATTTATTCTCGATTAAGAATCAAAACGCAGATGCGTTCTCATCATGGACTAATATGGAATGCCCCGTTTCCAGTAAAAAAGGGGTCTCTGGATTTCTACACTCACATACTAAACACAGCAGAATTAAGCTGCTATTTTACGCTGGTATGGAACACAGATTCATGTGCAGCTTACAGGTCAAATACAATTCAGCAACCTACCTCAGGGGGGAGGGCTCCATGCCCCGTCAAACTCTCGTCACAAGTCTCGTCTTTTAGCAAATCCGTGTGATTGTGATTCATATCTCGGTTTGTAGCCATCTTCAAAAGAAGGAGGAAGATATCAATTCGTATGTTTTTGTTTCTATGTATATTACTCCATATCTATGTCAATAAAGTACTGATTTTTTTTGTTTATTAATTATAAGGTACGTGTAGGTAATACGGTCGCCTTAAGCTTTGCCGCCCTATAAAACCAAAACTAGAAGGTGGCCAGAGAGAAAAACACAAAGTCTTATACTATAACTAATATATTAAGAAAATAAGAGCAAACAAGCTTTGGCATTAACTAGGAAAATTTTTAAACGTTTAATTTAACATTTTTGTTTTTATTTTTTGTAAAATAGCAGTGTAATAGGCTTCTACTCCGTTCACATATACACCCTATTTTTTCCAGGCGGTAAAAAAGGTCATCCAGTATATACTTACTACTTTGACTACCTTTATTTTCTTCAACTATCCTTTAATAGACCTGCTGGAAGAAATTTCATCATGGGATAAGCAGTGCCTTTGTACATATTATGTTCTTTTTACCTAATAAATAATAATAAGTCTTAGCACCTACTCCTGAAACTAAGTATTACGCAGAAATTTACTTATATTTTATACTTTTTATTTAAAGTTCATTTTTCTAACTTGCAATAGAACAGTGTTTTTATATAAAAAAGTTAAGAAGTTACAGCATATATATGTGATACATATAGTGGGCATATATGTGACCTATATATGCGCACTAACTGCCACAGGCCTCCTGCTCATTTCTGAGAGGGTTTTAGGGCAAGGAATTGTCCGCCACTCTACCCCAATGCGTGTTGGCGAACTTCACATGTCTCCGAAATATTTTTTTTTTATTTCTCAGACATGCAGGTTTCCTCGCGATGTTTTCATTTACCGCCGAGCATGTGGTAAATTGCCACTTAAAATTGAAATTAACAATTTTATTGGGGTCAGCGGGGATCTAACCCGGATTGCTCCCGTACTGTTAAATTAGAGAGCGCTTAGTCTACGAACTACCACGGCTCTAGTGTTTTCATATGCTATATTTAAAAAAAAGTATTTAGTAACAGCTAATTTTACTGATATTTGATATTGTCACAGGCATCATTTAAAAATTTAAGGCAGAGAGCTGACTTTCGTTCTTAAAATGCCGTTCGCTGAAATATTCCGCGAGAGGTCATGCCAATTTGCTGTTCACTAAAATGTTCCCTTTATCCTTGGCCATGGTACCAGATAAAAGTTAAGTTAAAGTTACAGCCTATATACGTCCCACTGCAGGCACAAGCCTCCCCTCATTTTTGAAAGGGTATTAGTGCAAGGAAGTGTCCGCCTCGCTGCCTCAATGCGTATTGGCGAACTTCACATGACTTCGATTTTTTTATTTTATTTCTAAGATATGCAGGTCTCCTCACGATGTTTTCAGCGGGGATCGAACCCGGTTTGCTCACGTACTGTGAAATTTACAGCGATCACTAACCATCTGAGCTACCACGGCTCTTGTATCTTTGTATCTTTTATCCTAATTGTCGCTTTATAATACAATACTATGTACTATATACAATTATAATAAAATTAGGAATTAATTATTTTGTTCATCTTTTTCAGCTACGCACAGGACAGTTAACGACGCTCATGAACAAAACCACGGCGTGGCGGACTACGAAACAGCCTTGGACTCCGCAGGTAAGTTTTTTTCTTTCTTTAGTCTATGAAAATCTGCAGCCAACTTCACACGAAGAAGGCAATACATGCGTTGTCATATATGAGAACTAATGACGGAATGTCTCACAATCTGTAATAATACCGACTCTATACCCTTTAGACCGAAATAAAGCAGTGCAAGCACTGCTATTTGACGTCAAAATAGGTAAGACGGTTGAACCTACCCGAGGTTCGATGGACTCCCGGACTGAAAAGCAACCCTACTTACTAATGACACTAAACGGTAATTCTGTAGACAACTTCGGCAAGATGGTAAAGGTTATCTGAAATCTTAGCCAGCTATGTAAATGTACCTATTGGAGAAGAAATGGCTGAATAATGCTTAGAAAATAATTTTACTAAAATTTTTATTTTTAAAAATTTCTTAAATTTACGCGAACACTACAGATTGAATAAAACGATTTATACGGATTTTATCGAATTTGATTAACTTTTTTTTAATTTCCGACGTTTTTGTTGTGCTTTACAGCGCCCATGGTCACGGGAAAACTGAGATCTTTGACGCTCTATGTCTATGTTGAATATATTGGTCCGATCTACGCAGAACGAGCTTACAATATCTTGAACTCTTACAGTGGTATGCTTGGGCTTGGATTTAATTTTGTTAATTATAGGATCCCAAGTAGATGGCAGCACCCATCCGTCTTCTCTATTGAAGTTAGGATGTTTTTTTTTAATTTCAACAGCCTCGCGTATCATCCTCGGTAGGAATCGGTGTTCTTTTGCGAGGATTTGTGGTTTATCAAATCTGATGTAGTGGTGGGGTCGACCTTGAACACTTTCACAGACTGCAGACTACCTGGAGCGTCGGCGCTTCACGTCAGATATATTGTTGAATATTTTTAATTAATATTTTTAATAAAATCCTTTAAATGCACTTTATCCGTGGTAGTGCCACGCTGCAGCTGTTTTATGGTTTAGCACGAATGGGATGACTCAAACGAGAAGCAGCTAAGCGGTACTGTGTTCCGTATGATGACCGGAGACCCTTTTTACTGGAAACGAGACATTTCATCTTAGTTCTTAGGCGTTACAACGCATCTGTATTTTGATTCTTAATCGAGGATACAACCATGTAGATGTCTATGGGCCACAGCATCTACTTATCATCAGGTGGACTGTGTACTCGTTTGTCATCCTTTTACTATAAAAAAGCGTTATTTTATCTTTTTTTGGAGTCTGGGGTGGATCTATGCAATTAATCTAGATTAAGATTGGAAGTCTGTGATTAGTCACAATTTATGTTTTATTCAAGATATCAACATAATATGGTGCAATCAGGCTGTTATGAATTACGTCTTGAATTCCACGTTCATCGCAATTTCTAGCTTAGTTAGTGTTTAAAACTTAAACAATCCGACGTCTCGATGTGCGACCGGTACATGTACGTACGTGTAACGATTATAAACAAACTAGCTTTTACCCGCGACTTCGTCCGCATAAGTTTTTTTGTTTTCTCCCGGCTATAAGTCCCCCTGCAACAATGTCCCACTATCGTGTTCCAGTCCTCAACTTCACATCAAAATTTGTTCAAAAGCAACCTAAGCTACATAATGGATAGCTCCGAATGTTTCCTTAGTAAATATAAAAAGTAAATAATGTAAATCGGTTTAAAATACTACTAACTACCTACCTGCCAACCCCCGATGTTAGACAGTGTGACATCCGTAACATCGTCTGCGTAGGAAGTACTAACTTAATGTAAGTAGTATAATAATGTAGGAAGCTAACAATAAGAGGCCTTATTACTGTAGTACATTTTTGTAAACTATGTTCTTTGTTTTTCCCTCTCTGGCCAACACATGGAGATTCTGTGGACTTGAAACACGTGAGCAAGCCACGTATAATTGTCCGTGAGAAAAACAACTCTTTTTCTAAATTAATGCCGGCTACTTTTAATGTTTGCCCCTGAGCTTTATTTATCGTCATAGCGAATGCGATTTTCAGCGGAAACTGTAATCTCTTAAACTGGAATGGCAAATCTGTCGGAATTATGGGTATACGGGGGATTAAAACGTTCTCTCCTTTTGCCATTCCAGTCATAATGATTGCTTTTACAATATTGCGACCGAGGTGTGTCACTTGCAACCGTGTGCCATTACACAGTCTTGGTGCATCTAAACTCCGCATTAAAAGGACAGGAACGCCTACTTTCAGCCTCAGTTTGTGTGAAGGTACTCCCGACAGTTCTAAAGAATTAAGAAATTCTACAGGGTATGATGTTACTTGTTCAGTATCCATTACAGTGTCTACAGAGAGAAACTCAACAATATCACCTTCCACGCGTGACATAATTTGCTCGTTTATCTGTCCCACCATTTCATTCGTCGGCGCTAAAATTGCTCTTTCACATAACCAGTCTCTATTCCTCATATTAGTTAGCAGTTCGCTATAGACGAAGTTATTTAGATCATCTGGATTATGCACAACATTGCAGAATTCACGATCCAATGTAATCATGCCATTACCATCCTTTGCCATACGATCTTCTCCAATTTTAAGAAGAGCAGCAGCATAATGTCCAGATTGTACATCATTGTGTAGTTGCACTCTCATATTTGTAGACAGACTAAACGTTTTTACGTGCACCCATAACGTTGACGCTTTTAAACACGCATTTATTTCATCTGCAGGGGTGCCTTTAGTGATAACCGGCAAAGTCTGTCTAAAATCGCCCGCTAAAAGTACCACCATCCCCCCCATGATATTTGGATTACTCTTGATGTCTTTCAAAGTCCGATCTAGAGCTTCAATTGCTCTTTTATGGGACATAGTACACTCATCCCAAACTAATAATTTACATTGCTGCAACATACGTCCACGCTCGCTGTTTTTACTTATATTACAGACTGGCATTTCTTCATGGGCTAAGTTTAATGGCAGTTTAAGCACCGAATGTGCCGTTCGACCACCATTGAGCAGAGTGGCGGCTATTCCGGAAGAGGCAACTGCTACAGCAATTCCTTTATCTTTTCGGATTTGCGCTAAAAGCAAGTTTAAAAGAAAGGTTTTTCCCGTGCCTCCGGGAGCATCCAAAAATAACAAACCACCTTCGCCATCTTCGATTTTTTTGAAAACATTGTCAAATACTAACCTTTGTTCTGGGATCAAACGTGGAACAGACTCTGTCAATTGTTGTTGTAAGGAAGCAGTATCGTAATCTAGTTCCCGTATTAAATCGCTACTGATTTCCTCGGTTCTCTGTGGTCTGATCATTCCATAATCTGATAAATCCTTTCCAGAAATTGTTTTAACCTGGTCTTCAATTTTTGTCAAACCCTCATTGTAAATTAAATCACTGTACGTGACATTGGGATTTTGCTCTTGTAATCTGTGCAATATATCGTCGGTCATATCATTTTTGTATTTATCCCACAATTGTTGAGGATTTGAAAGACCACATGTCGCTACTAATACAGCAAATAGCTCTCTCATCTTGCCTGCTGATCTACATTGAGCAGCTTCTTCCAGTGTCACATCCCAATGGTTGTCATTCTCCAGTAATCCTCTTGCCTCACATGCCTCTCGAAATGTAGGATAATCTTGTGTGTTGTATTTTTTTAGATCATTGAAAGAGGTAGGTCCGCGCACATGGTGTAAAAGCATGCGTAGACAAAAACATTCCATGTTACTAACATGAACTGTATAAACTCGTCCTAAAGCATCTCCAGATTTGACGCCAGGCCAATCGTGAACTGAAGTACCTTGAATGCGGCGTTTCCAAGTTTTCCTACTTGCATCCCAAGTATAATACCTCGGCACCTCGACATAAAGAAGAGTTTTTGCAAACTCATCTCTGATACAAAGATCAAAAAAAGCAGTGAGTGTGGTTTTTGGCGGAGTAGTTATTCGTTCGTGGAAATTGTGTTCATTAAAATAAACGCGTTCACCATTTTCTAAATGCACGCTGAGATGTGTCACGGTGGGATGCCTTTCGTGCAACGGAAATGCTAACAGACGCCACACGGCTTCGTTGCTGCTGACATACCGACCAGACTGATAAGTTTGTACCTCATCTACGGGATTCACAAGATCAGTATTTCTAAAATTGAAAATAGCTTGATCACTACCCTTGTTTATATATTTGCAAATATATTTGATGGCGCGTACTGAACTGCATGCCTCAACATTTATGTGGGCGTTAAACATTTTTGATAAAATTGGTGAATAGGGGACTACCCAACTATTATCAACCGTAACGTAGCTACCATTTCAGAGCTTCACGGTTGCTGTTCGACCTCCGTCTGCTGGCGCTCTTCTACGATACTGCGGGTATCCGTGGTCGTTGTGAACGGTCTCTTTCACTAACTTGCGAGGAAATTTTTTTGTGCATTTTCCGTCTTTCATGCAGTGGCACTGTGGATTTTCGGGTCCGCATGGACCGTGAATCATATTTTTTACAATAATGTCATGGAGAGTCTTGTCAATGTTAGGATCCGGTATTTCAGCGCTGATTATGTTATCTATTTGATCGGGTCGTAACTTATCTTTTAACCACAATAATATATGGACATGTGGCAGTCCACGTTTCTGCTATTCGACAGAGTACATAAAGCAGCGCACTTCTCTGAACACTCGGCCTTTATTAATCACATCCATTAGTTTTTTAACTTTTAGTCTAAAAACTCTTGCGACTACATCATGTCTATCTATTGCGCTTTGCCCCGGCATCAACTGATTGACTATTTCGGGCCAGGCTGGGTTGCAAGTAAAGGTGACGAATAAGTCAGGGCGACCATGTGTACGCACATAAACAAACGCGTCCTGAGTATATTCGTGTAAGTACCGCGGGCTATTTACAAATGAAGATGGTAAAATGACCATACGACCTAAGTTATTTGGATTTAAATTAGTGTCATTTGCCACAGCGTCTTGAAGATGGATGTAATTCTCTGCTCTTAGTTTAGTTTGATTTAATGATATGTACCGTAACCTCTCGCTTTCAACTTTAACGTACATGTCAACGTAAAACTGATTGGCCAGTTGCTTGCATCTTTGTACAATGTTAAAGTTGTTTTCTCGTATCATCATGTTGTAGGCATAAAAATCCATGCATGAAACCTTTTTGTTATGCAAGGGAAGACCTGTTACAGGATTAATTTGAGGAACTTGAAAGTGGTACCCCTCTTGTCCCTTACTAAATATGATCGGATATTGCAACGCATCATAAAATTTATGAGTATCAGGCACCCTGGTTAATGTGTCATCTCGGGCCTGTAAAACTATATCACGGAAAGCAAACTGTTCGCCTGTAACCAAGGCTGCGACTTCATTTATTAACGGTGCATTATACCGCCTTTCATGTTCCCCACTTGGTGTGCGATCGGGGTGCATCACCAACCTATAATCCTCTCCCGGCATTCTTTCTAGTGCTGTTTTGAAAGTATTGATAAGGCGATTATGTTCATGCAACATTCTCTGGATTTTTAAAACAGTATCCCTTTCGATTCCTTGTATATTTTGACACCTGCGATCAGCTTCGTTTTTTTCATCGCCCATGAAATAAAGTTGCAAAAACTTTGGTTGTTCATTATTTGCGGGAAGTAAGGAACCAATCCTGTGATACACCTGTCCTTGGATGGTAAAAGTAGGTGAAAATCCAGGCATTACGACCTCCTTATCTACACCAAATGACGTCATCTGAAAGCAAGAATTATACTTTCTAATCCTGCTTAAAAACCGGCGCGATTCGTTACTGTCGTATAAAAGTAAAGATTTAAGAGGTTCCTCTGGTTCGCCAAGTAATGGAATTTTAACCTTTCCACCAGAACAGCACATACCTGGAGTTTCTTCTTTCCATTTCAGTGCTTCACAATATCTGCATTTTTTATCCATTCTCCCAATGATAACCAATCGGTGATTAACATAGTCGATCAAAGGGTCATACTCAAAAGCGGCACCATTAAATGCCTCCCACGTACTCATTGAAAACGTACGTCTTCTTTCTGCCTGCCGTTCAGCATTTAAAAGACGTCGTCTTTGTGAATCTTCGTCAGTCTCTGCCGCAATCAATTGCGCGTGACGTTCGGCATCTAAAACTCGACGTGTCTGAGTCTGTTCCACTGTCTCAGCAGCTCTTTGAGATGCGTGGCGTTCAGCATCCAGGGTCTGACGGGCCTGAGTCTGCGTAAACGTCTCAGAGGCCCTTTGAAATGCGTGGCGCTCAGCATCTAAGGTTTGTCGGGCTTGAGTCTGCGTATAGGTCTCAGAGGCCCTTTGAGATGCGTGGCGTTCAGCATCCAGGGCCTGACGGGTCTCAGTCTGCGTAAACGTCTCAGAGGCTCTTTGAGATGCGTGGCGTTCAGCATCTAGGGCCTGACGGGCTTGAGTCTGTGTAAACGTCTCAGAGGCCCTTTGAGATGCGTGGCGCTCAGCATCTAAGGTCCTACGGGCTTGAGTCTGCGTATAGGTCTCAGAAGCTCTTTGAGTCGCATGACGCTGAGAATCTAACATCTGACGCGTCTGAGTCTGCTCTTCAGATTCTTGGCTTCTAGCAACTTTTGCAGTTCGAGCTCTGCTAGAACTACGGCTTAGATTGGATTTACGTTTGCGTGGCATATCGAAAACAATAAAACAATAATTAAAGATTTGTAAAATCGGTAGTTTTAAAAACTACAACGTAAGACAATTTTTTATAAAAACTTCGATAAAGCAAACTTTTTTACTTATAACCTAAATATCTAAATCAATCAATAACGTATTGAACCGAAACAACTATGCACCTGACAAACCTTTTATACCTAAAACCTAAATTAACTAAATAAATTCAAAAATATTGAATTTATGTACCACACCACAATACACAATTTTCTTCACTACTGGTACTACCTACTTATCTATCAAAACTAACATAAAAGTACTATAATATAATGACAAAATCTATTACTAAACTAATTTACTACGAACTATAAACATCCTGATGTGAGCTAAAAAAACACTTAACCTACACATGAATAAAATTGAGAATTAACAAATGAAAGCGACTGCAAAAATAAAGAATAATACGTATCTGAGTAAACCTAGAGATATGAATGATTGGTTAAGAAAATACCTACATCTAACAGCTACCTTAACTACCTAATAATAAAAATGTAACTAAGTACTTAATAAAAATACGAAAATGACGTCAACTTGGACTCAAAAATAATAACCTACCAAATATTTATTTAGATATCTAAAACAAAGGACTAAATTAAAGCTTACAGACCCTACGCGTAGACCGTAGTACCTATTTCAACTCTGAATTTAAAAAGAACGTTTTTAGCTAACCAAAAATACGCAACGAATAGAGTTTCGTAACGCAATATTTCAATATTCGCATACGTGCGACGACGACGTCTGCCCTCGTGCTAGACATGGGTAGTTCGCGAACGATTGAAGGAAATGAACTACTTCATTTTGCAAAATAAACTTATCATTCATTTAGTATCATTAAAAATGTGTCTCTACTTCATTTAGTTCAGTCTTCGGATCAGATGAAACTAAATTGAAGTCTGATTTAATCGGTTGTGTTGAATATAATGAACGACACACAAGCGAAAATTTAAAAGCCTTTCTATGCGATGTAATGGCAGAATGGAATATAGCCGACTATACAACAGCTATTGCGAGTGACAATGCAGCCAACATTACTGCTGCAATAAGAGATACCGGTAGATGGCATATACCATGCTTTGCGCATTCAATTACTTTATGTGCAAGCCGCTCTGACGACTCTATCGGAAACGTTGGTCAAGGTTAAAAGTATCGTCGAATTTTTTAAAAGAAGTTCTCAAGCTCAACATAAGCTACGAGAAATGCAAAAACAACTGAACCTTGGCCAACTAAAATTAAAGCAGGATGTGCCAACGCGGTGGAATTCCACTTATGACATGCTCCAGCGGCTGTTATCAGCCAAGGATGCCGTAATCGTTACAATAGCTATAATGCGACAGGAGCTGGCGCTAAATAACGACGATTGGGAAGTTATAGAAAGCGTAGCGACAATTTTAAAACTTTTTTACGACATAACCGTCGAAATTAGTGCCGAGAAGAATGTTTCGCTGGCTAAAGTCATCCCCCTGTGTGGCATCATGAATAATCATGTCAAAGCGCACTTAAATAATACCATGCTTCCAACGCGAGTGCAGTTAATGCTGAATACACTCGACAAGCAGTTAGAAAAGCGTTTCTCCAACATTGAGAAACACATATTGTATAGCGAGGCGACGATACTGGATCCACGATTCAAAAATAAAGGATTCAGACATATAAATAATTTCGACCAGGCTGTGGCTACATTGAAGAGGAAAGTCTGTACAGTGCAGCAAAGGCAAACTACAACGACATTGCCTTCAACATCAGACCCATCCACATCCACGTCAGTGTCTGCCATGACGTCCATATGGGACCAATTTGACAAAGAAGTGGCAAAGTTGACACCTACAAATCCTTTGGCCGCTGGCATTGTGGAGATAGATAAATATCTCCAGGAACCACTTTTACAACGGTGCAATGATCCTCTGCGCTTATGGCACGAGCGCCGGTCGTTCTACCCAATCCTCTTTAAATACGCCCTAAAAAGACTGCACCTTTATTTGTAAGTAGTAATTGTCAATAATTAATAAGCAACGTATGTAAATGTATAATTATAAATAGATGTAGGTAAATAGTATATAAATATCCTGTAAATAATTTTAAATCGCTGTACATGTTTCGATTATTAAATACGCCAACCTATTAGATACATAGAGAAAACAGAAAACATACTAGGTACTCAATAACAAATAGTTTTTCAGGGTTGACAGTCCTAAGCCTGTATAGAGTATGAAGGAAAATCGAGATTGGTATAAAGGTGAATTAATTAAGTGAAGTACATCATTCGTCGTAACTCACTCATCAATCACACTTGCGAGCTCAATATCCTAGGGTTACGGACTCGTTTTGGTATGCTGAACTAAATGAAGTACTGAACTAAATGAGTGGACTACTTCATAGAGCGAAAAGATATACTTCATTCATTTCTTTTCACTGACACATTTTGCGCATGTCTACCTCGTGCGTCTGCCCGCTTGGGTAGGCACAGTTGGGCACGGCCCTCCCCTCGCGCCGCACCGCCTCTTCGCTCGGCGCAGCGTCTTGTATTCACTACGACGACGTATGATTTGAAGGTTTGCGTTATATTGAATTATTTTCCCTCGTTGAATAGTAAACAAACTAAGTGTAGGTGTTATAATTTCGGTGATGAACTGATTACCTATCCGTTTCTTTGTCTAAAATGAGTATTAACTTATCACTATGATTGATTACTGAGCATAAAGTTCGTATAAATGTCTATCTAATTACCTCCTCAAGTTTAAAGCGTAGCTAGTTATGTAGTACTATATTAATTCTGTGGTGTAGGTAATTAGATTTTATCTGTATGTAATTTAACAGTCAGTTGAATAAAAAATCGTATACAAATCAGATCAATAGCTATGGCGTAATGTGATTCTAGACAGAGTTTTAATGTTGTAGATAGGTAGCTGTGTATAGGTTCCTGTGGGAATGAGATATTTTCCCGAAGTAAAAAGTAGTCTGAATTTTGGTACCTTCCTACCCTATAAGTTAAGTAGTGTGATGGTATGTCGCTAAGTTTCGATCCAAGTAAAACTGTTAAATAAAGACAGATGCATCAAAATTTTATAATAAATTCCCTAAATTATGGCGCCTACCGACCCTCTAAGTTAGAAAAGTGATCAAATACTAACTTTAAGTCTTAGTAACACTCATTTAAAAAAAAACATCAAAATCATTTCAGTAGCTATGGCGTCATTCGCTTCTTGACACGATCACGCTAGATTTCCGCGGGAATGAGGTATTTTCCCGCCGTAAGAAGTAGCCTGTGTCCGTGCCTAGGATCCTATCTTTATATTAACCAAGTCTTATAAAAATCCGTTCAGACGTTAAGGCGTGAATGAGGTAAACTTTTAAACCAAACTATTAAAAATCACTAACTTAATTAGTTTTCTGCCTACTGCCTACGCCTTAAGTACGATAGCATGAATATTAATAGCCCATATCCTTTTCTAGGTTACTATCTATCACCTAACTAAATTTCATCAAAATCCGTTCAGCCGTTTAGGCATGATAGAGCAAAATTCCCACCAAAAACCATAAAAAAAATCACTAACTCAATTCAGTTTTCTGCCTACTTCCTACCCCCTAAGTACTATGACGTGATCATTTTGATCTTATATCCGTTTTTAGGTAACCATCTATTACCTTACAGATCTGTTCAGCCTTTTATACGTGAAAGAGCAAAAGTCCCAACAAAAACGACTAAAAATCACTAACTCAATTTAGTTATCTGCCTACTGCCTACCCCCTAAGAACGATGGCGTGATTATTTATAGCCTATGACCATTTCTAGGTTATCATCTATCACCATACCAAATTTCATCAAAATCCGTTCAGCCGTTTAGGCGTGAAAGAGGAGCAGACAGACAGACAGACAGACAGACAGAGTTACTTTCGCATTTATAATATTAGTATGGATATATTAACTATCATTAGATGTATCTGAAGAAATTATCTCGTATTAGGGTTTTTAGCAGTTGCTGCTGTGGCGGTTCATGACGGACATGCTGTAGATATATTATAGTTGTAGTACGAATTGTTCCTCTGGACTGGGGAAGGGCCATGCTCGCATAGAATACCAGAGTAAAATCTCTCCTAAACATAAGACAATAATTATAGCTTTTAACAAAAATAAAAACCAACTTCAAATTGCAAAAAAAGAAGTTAAATATTTGCAACCCTTAGGGGTGAAATTTTTTCTCCAAATATATATGAGATCACCCCCAAAGTATCCTATTTAATAAAAAATATGAAGAATTATTAAAATCGGTTCACAATCTGCGAAGATATCGCGTAACTTACATACAGTCAATGCAACTCATGGAATCATCATTCTTGTGTAACGTACAAACAAAATAAATTACCTAATTCTTTCATGTTAAGCGTCAATGTAACTAAATTGAGCTAAATAGTACAATAATATAATTTAACCTTATAAATTTAAGGACTTTGCCTGTAACGATTGTTATATTATAGCCAATAAATATTTTTGATTTTGATTTTTGATTTACAAAAAAAAATGGTCATATATGACAGAGTGGACAGGAATGTGTTATGGCAAACACTGAACTCATATCGGTTGAGCGCTGGTTTGATACAGGCATTGAGGTCTCTTTATAGGGACTCTAGTGCTTGTGTCAGGATCAATGGGGTCTACTTGGACTGGTTTGGCATCCAAAAAGGTGTCAGACAGGGCTGTGTAGCTTCCCCTTGGCTGTTCAACCTATTTATGGACAGGTGTTTGCAAACTTTGAAAGATGAAGAATGTGGGTTAAGAATGGGCGAGTTAACCGTCAAATGCCTTTTGTATGCCGATGATCAAGTCATATTTGCGTCATCGGCGGCTGAGTTGCAAATGATGGTTACATTAATGAACTGGGAATTAAAAGAAAGGGGAATGAAAGTGAACGCAAGTAAGACGAAAGTGATGGTTTTTGAAAGAGAAGAAATCAAAACGGTATGTGAAATAAGAATAGAAGGAGAGTTAATTGAGCAAGTGGATGAGTTTGTGTATTTGGGATGTGTATTTAGCAGGGATGGTAGATATGATAGGGATATAGAACGACGAGTAAATGCAGGGAATAGAATGAATGGGGCACTACACTCTATTATGAAGAACCAGAATGTGTCAAAAAAGGTACGTATGGTAATTCATAATGCTGGGTTAGTCCCTACTTTAATGTATGGTAGTGAAAGCTGGGTGTGGCAGAAGAAGCACGAAAGTAGAATAAATGCTGTAGAAATGCGGTCTTTAAGGAGTATGCTAGGGTTGAATCTGAATGACAGGGTGAGAAATTGCGTGATAAGAGATAAATGTGGTATGCAAGATGATGTTGTGAACAGGATTAAGAAAGGAATGCTTCGGTGGTTTGGTCATGTAGAAAGAATGAATGAGGAAAGAGTGACAAAGCAAATTTATATGGCAGATGTGAACGGTCGAGTCGGGAAGGGACGCCCTAGAAAAAAGTTTATCGACCAAATTGGCGATATTTTGAAAAGGGGCCACGTTAGAAGTACCCTTAACCGACGAGCATGTATGCGTAGATATATGGATGTAAAGGAGGCGAAAGAGGTATGTCAGGATCGTGCCAAATGGAAGTCCGTACTCTCTGCCTACCCTTCTGGGTGACAGGCGTGAGTGTTTATGTATATGTATGTAAAAATGGTCACTTAACATGAGGTGAACCGTATGCTAGTTTGCCCCCTCTTCTATAAAAAAAATAACACACTCGAATTGAGAACCTCCTCATTTTTGAAGTCGGTTAATTAGAGGAAAATCATAACACAACTAGACCTGAAAACCAGCAACTTATGAATTTGCACTAATTGCGACTTTGGCTGCCTTTCCAACTCAAGACCAGCGACGCGCTCTCACAGAATACCTAATTAGTTTCCTCTGCGTTTCGCTTGGTGAGTGCAGGTGGCCAGATACCCAATTCCCCCCCTCCCTGAACATGGTAGCGGAATTAAGTGAAGAACTATCCCAGGAGGACACCAGCACCGGGTGACGGAGAATCCCTCACTGAGCATCCACGACCAAGTTATCCTTATCTTCCTGAGCGTGCGTGCTCAGACTGCCCCGCGTATTCTGGAGGGGGGGCGCAATTCCACTCGCAGCAAAAGCTGCTCGGGGCAAGCGGAGCAACAAAACCAAGGCGACAGCTGCCACGCTATCCACGAATTTCTGCAACATCAGGGGATTTTATTTCAACCTTAACGCTGTCCACTACCATCTGGAAATGGGGAAGCCGGCTTTGCTCTTTTTTAACCCAGACTCAGGTGCCCTCTCCAGCTGATACTTCATATCTCTCCCACCTGGGGTACAAATTAGAATATTCCTTTGTGCCCCGGGATGGAGTATGCGTATACGTCAGAGAGGACATCTGTTTTTGACGTCTCGGCAGTCGTGAAGGTACGGACCTGTCCATCCTATGGCTGCGCGTGGACAGATTCGACCATCCTCGACCGGGGTAGGATCACGCTCTCACAAAATACCAGCGTAAAATAGCAGCTTAATGCAACTGTGTGTTAAAACAACATAATAGTGTATGTACTGTGTGTAGCGAGTCTGTGTGTGTGTATGTAGTGGATGCGTGGTGTATATGTAATGTGTGTTGTGTGAATGTGTATATTTTGGATCATATGGGGTAGATTATTCATTGACCTCAAACTCTGTGCCTTGTACTATTAGACGCACTAAAAGTCTAGTCGGTTAATTCGTTCTTCGCGATCGATTTATGTCAATTGTTCATTAAGAGCGCACTTTTTGTTTAGCGTCATTTTCCAATTTAGAGTTAGTAGAGCATATTTACCAGGTTCAAAGATGCGATACATCTGATATTGCGTCGCCAATCCGTATGCCAAGGGGTGGCAACAAACGAAACCTACTTATTCAAACAAACTTAGCTTTGAGCTGTGTTAGCACAGGGGCTAAGTGCTCGCTGTAAATTTTACATGTACGCGAGCAACCCGGGTTTGATCCATG